TCACATTTGTACAAGTCCTATGTGGCCTCTCACCCATATGTTCACCATACATTGAATAGGATCTTTCAAGGACATCTTTTCACGGACAACTTTTATAAAGAAACAATATAAATAGAATAATAAAAATGTCATAGCTTGGGGGAGGTGGGGGGGAGATTGCAAAGTGAAAAACAGCAATACAGTATCAGTGTGGACATGAGCCAAGAGAGACAAGAAGGGCTTTGTTGATAGGTTACTCCTGCCATAAACAAACCTTCTCCATGTTGTGCAGAAGTGGAAGCAAATGAACTCATGCAGTGGGGGGACGCAATGAAAAAATTTGTTTCCTTTGTCTCAAAAAGAGATCTAGATTAATCCAACATGAAGAATCTTAAAAACTTATATTTTCAGAGTAATTTATAATTTTATATCCTTTTTCAGGAAATGGGAGCAGAGAACCTGTTTAACATACATATTTTTTGACCACCACTTTGCTCAAAAAAGCATTTACCTGTCAGTCTGTTGGTCCTCAAATTAAATAATGTCTGACTTCAAGTCTTTTTTTTTTTATATTTGGCAGAAGGCATCAAGGCTTCATCTACATCTGCTTTTTGGCTCTTTTCCAAAGTATCTATTTCCCTGTATATCTGAAATGTTGCATAATTTGTGGCATGTTAGTTTACCATGCAGACCCTCTCCTGTGCATCAGTCTCAAACACATTTGCATCTGGTGCAAATTTCTTGCAACTAAACGTGACCTATGTCAAATAACCAGATCATCAACTCATCAAAACTGTCAGTTTTGCTGCAATGAACTGGATGTTCTGTATGAACATATATCCTGCATAAGTTTTGTAGATTATGTACTTCTAAATTTTGAGAAACTTGCCCACCAGAAACTTGCCGGAAGATAATTTTAATGAAAGAAACTATTTAAAGCACTGCCCTGAATAGAGTTGATTTTTACCATATATTCAGGCACTTGCAAAATCAGAGTACAAATTCCTAGAGCTTCCTCAGAAAGCAGCTATCAAGAGGATGAAATATGAAGTGAGAGCAGAAGCATCATGTAAGGTGGAGGAAGGGAAGCAGTAGTCGCCAGGCCTAGTGCTGGCCCTGGAATCTGGCTGTCCCTTAGCAGCCTATATTGATAATGGAGAGAAAGCCCTTTTGGTAGATGCATAGCACCCAGAGTAGTGTAGGTGTGCAGGCCCTCTGATTGCCTCTGGAGGGGACCAGAAAAGCTGCCATCCTTCAGCTGAAGTCAGTCTTTGTGAATGCACTCCCTAATATTTGAAATATCAACTTCAACTAGGCCATTAACAGTATTTTGCATGGGCAGAAATACTGAATAGAATTTCTGATCATAGGTTAATTAAAGTGTTAGAGACTAAAGCTGGTCACACTTTTTCCTCTTACATGTAATACTCAAACATTTAAAATTCTGCAAAACCTGGATAGAAGAAAAGAATTTTCTTTCATATCAACGTTAGTAATGACTTGACTAATTAGTAATGACTCAGGGAAGCAGCTACCACATATTAAAGAACACAGGAATGAAGACAGCACGGTAGATCTTGGAGTTGTACATATCCTTCAACTGAGAAATGACTATCAACAAAATTTATCATTTCATTATAATTGTTATTTCTCCTGCCTTTCCACTCAGCTGAGTGAATGTAATCTGTTTCAAACAAGAGATGTTATTTAAGCTCTTGTTTCCTACTGTTATGTATGCTTTAAAAATAAGAATACAAGAAAAAAAATTTTCTTATTGTCTTCATTCTCTATGCACTAGTTCAGTAAATTCTTTGATAGAAAGAAATAGGAAGGAAAGCTTTAAAATGAACCATTATCAGGCACTGTACCCCAGAAAAAAAATCCATAGAACAATCCGGAAAAAAAAGCCAAAAAACTACATGCCATTAATTTATTTCTATAATAAGCTAATATCCAAAATCTGATTTTTAGGAAAGAGTGTGAGCTGCCAACCAACAGTGCACCTTCATTCAGTAGAGTGCCTAGACAAACGGTTAACTTAAACAAATTTTTTGGTTTCATTGATCTGAGAACACTTCCCTGGGGTTAGAATGAGAACTTGATATACAGGCCTGGATTTAAACATTTGCTGATTTACAGTCTGAATATGAATCAGTGTCATTTTGCCTTTAGGATCCATTCATGATAGCTGGTACTGTAATCCAAGACCACAGAGTCAGAATGTATGAACCCTTACCCTTCACACTTTCATCAGTGATGAGATACAGTCAGCATCAGCTCAAGGGATCTGGGGGGTCCTGTCGTGTTGATTCCTTTTCCTAGTTTAAATCTGATTTCTTTATATGGTGATAAAAACAGGGTTGATTATACACATATAGATTTTATTTTTTTTTTAATATTCAGTTCTTTGCTGGCCTACCAAAGGCAGGTATTATTGCCAATTAATTGCTTCCTTTATTCTTATCCTTTTTTTTACTATTGATGTGAAAGCTGTGAATTACCATACGTAGTGACAATGACACAATGAAGAGATATGTTGAAAAAAACCAATACAGGAATACAGAAGTATTTATTAACATGACATACAAATATGCTGGTTTATTTAGATTATGCAGAAGCTTTAAATGTCTGTGGCCAATAAAACTGAAGTTTAAGATGCTAAAATAATAGATAAATGAAGCAGACAATAATGTTTATTAAATAGTTCCATTTGTCATTTAAGGCTGTAGATTTGACATGAAATGTATGACACATAAATAATAAGATACATTATAGATCACTCACTGTTCTGATTTTCTGTCAGTAAAACTTCTCTACCAGTCTGAAAGAATAAAAGGGATCTTCAGGCTTTTGAGATAGGAATCGCCATGTGCTGAAGTGTGGGATGTTTGACAAAACAGCACATAGGAGAAATAAATATCAAACCAGAATGACTGAAAAATTATAGTGAAACATGAAACTCAGCAGCTTACCCTGTAAAGAAATTTAGCATATAGAGGATGAGAAGCCATGCTGGAGCACTGAAAATAAAAGAGAGGATCAATATTGATCCTCTGGTTGTTGGGAGGCAAAAATCTCCAGAGGCTTTTGAGAACTCCAGCATCAAGTCACAAACACAAGGACAAAAATACTGCTCTCAGTAGATATGATCTATGCCCTGCGGATGTCAGGTCAGCACCTCAGAGAGACTACTTTTATCTCATAATAAATTCTTCAAAAGAGCAATGATTTTGACTCTGAAATTCTCTGAATGTATTTTCCTGCTGGACACTCTTTACACTGTATTCCTTTACACTGTCGTTTGAGGCAGAGCACGCTGTGCTATTTGTATGATGATGCACTAGCCTGCGTCCTTAGCAGAGGCTCAGAAAGGCTTCTTGCAGGGAAGTGAGGAAACAGATAAGAAGCCTGATTCTAGGACAGCAGTGCAGAGGAAAAATGGCTCCTGAGCTTAACAAAGATGAGCAGAAGGAATCCTCCCACTTACAGTTCACCTTGTTTATCAGGTGTTGGGAGGCAAAAAACACCTGATACATTCTCAGGAGACAGTATGACGGTATCATATGGGCTGCAGGATTTGAGACTACCTCAAGCAGGAGAAATGCTGACATAGGAAGAAATATGTTGCTATCCCACTGAAGACCTCCAAATTTTAGCACACACCTGTTTTAGGTCCCTGAACACCGGCAGGCTCCTCTAAAGTTCCTCCAACACCTACTCTGTATAAACACCTAATTCAGCCTGATCAAAAATTTCCAGCAAACTAAATGGAAAGTTTCTCAAATAATTTAATTTTCTTCTTCCACTCCATTGAAAGAAAGAGCTTTAAAAAAAAAGAAAAAAAAAGGAAAAAAGCATATAAAAATCACAAATTCATAGTGACTCTTTTTGTAATGGGAAAAACCCACTGTGACATTCTAAAAAGGCTATTTTTCTACATTGTATCTCACTGTGAAACTACACATCCTTTAGAAGGTGAAAATTGTTGCAAAGTGAGAGGGAAATAATTTTGGGAGACCCTTGTCAAATTATTAGCAACACATACCACAGAGAACCCCAAAGAAAAAGGAAATCTCATAAAATACAAAAGGTCAAAGCTCTGAAAGAAACTTCTGTCTTATAATTAATTTTCTACATTCTGTTTCTGTTCTCGGGCACAGAAACCTTTTAAATTAAATTATCTTCCAGTAGAGAAATACATGGAATTATAATGCACAAGAACACATTGCTACTTTAATATTCTACACTATTTATAAGACAGCACAAGGCACAGTTTTTTACTTTTAAATTCTGGAAACCCAAATAATTTTAATTTCTTAGGCATTTATCTATGTCAAATTTAGAACACATTAAATTCACCATAACATCCTGAGATCTTTTTCCTCAGAAATGTATCAGGTCATATTTCCATTCATGCTGCATTTACATTTATATCCATTTTAAAGACCCTCTTGTCTGCCATAATGATTTCAAATTACCTTCTTGAAAGAAAGTAGGGTCTATGTTGTATTTTAAAAAGCTGATTATTGAAAAAGACCTTGATTTTACAGCAAAGTACACTGTATGACACAGAATCTCAGCTGGCTAATATTGTTGTAATTTCATTTACAGCAGTCATGTGGGTTTCCCTCAACTGGGGATCTAGTCATGAATACTTTGTGTAATTAGAGGATACATACTTTAAGCAGTAATACACAGAGCTCTATTGTATATATTTGGCAAATAATTCCATACTTCAACCAAATGTGGAAACTGTGAGTTTGAAAGTTAAGCATATCAGTTATACCCAAACTTTATCCGTATCCTTCTTTTAAGTTTTGCAGATCTTGATTTAACCATCCATTGTCTTCAAGATTAGAATCATAGAATCAACCAGGTTGGAAAAGACCTCCGAGATCATAAAGTCCAACCCTTGATCCAACACCACCATGGTTACTAGACCACGGCACTAAGTGCCACATCCAGTCTCAGCTTAAAAACCTCCAGGGACGGTGAATCCATCACCTCCCTGGGCAGCCCATTCCAATGTCTGATCACCCTCTCTGTAAAAAATTTCTTCCTAATATCCAACTTAAACCTCCCCTGGCAGAGCTTAAGACTGAGATTATCCAGGTTTATGCCATTGCATCTGAACACAGAATATTTTGAGGCTATACATAATTTATATAGGTCAACAGTAATTACTATGAAAAGACTCAGTCAGCTAAAGCTTATTTTTTTTAATATCAGACCTAATTTTCACTGTCACCTGCAAGGATGGTATTGCACCTTTTCCATACAGTGAACAATCCCATCTCCCTTTAGATTCTGGACATAGGTCCCAAGGAAAATTTACATGGTTCATAGGCCAAGGACAGATGGTGTATTTCATCCCAGCAACACTTACTCCTGTCAGTGATGGCAGACGAAAATGGGGTTTAGGGTTTTTAAATTAAAAAGCCTGTGTTATTAAAACCAGCTATAATCAGTTGGGACTGAAGGCCCATTTATGTTTTCATTTGCTGTGGTGAAGCATCAGAGTTATCCCATTGTGCACTGTGGCATTACTATAGGGTTTTATTCTTGTAAATAAGAACAGAATTTCTTTCTTAATCCTTTCTTTGAAACTAAGTGATTATAGCCTGAATTGCCACTGTGAATTAGAAAACTGTATGTCCCCATTTAAACATATTCTACAGGTCTCACAGAATCCTTTTTTTGCATGCCTACACTGATTTTAGAGGATTTTAACATCAATCAAAAGCTGAATTAAAAAAGAAAGGAACTACTCTTCAAATCAGAATTTCCTAATTTTATTCTTTGGTGGGTGTCCTCTGTAGTGACAGTGTCTCTGTGGTTCATATTGTTTCTAATGGTCTTAGATAGACACTCCTGAAAACTACTTCTTTGAAAAAATATAATCAATAAATAAACCTTTCTGGTAAAGCACAGAGCTATACAAAGAAAACAGAACAAAAGACAGCAGATGAAAACCATAGGTAGTAACAGGTCTAACTACGTCTTATAATAAAATTCAGATACAACTTCTGTGAACATTAAAGCAGTAAAAGGGGCAAAAATGCACAGCATATAATTTCAAAGTGACAACAATCAAAGTTCCTTGGAAAAGGAAGAAAAACATTACTCTTTTTGTACTTGTTATGTAATTTCACTTGTCCTTGGACACATTTCACCTGCAATCATACTTCAAGCAGTTTGGTGTGGAATTTTTATTACTCCTTTATATTTTTTCATCAGCATCACTATTTATTTTTTTAAATGTGACTGGGCTTGCCTGCTTCAAAGAGGTTTTTGAAACATCTGTGTGCATGGTGGACATGGCTATAGTCTCATAATCCTCCTCACGGGAGTGGAAATGACAAAAATGAAATAAAAACTGCAGGTCCCTTTGGAAGTTCTTATTGAGAAACCCGTAGAAGATGGGATTCACACAGGTAGAAATCATGGCAGTGAGGTGGCAAATCAGGAACAACAGGTTGTGGCTGCAGGTAGCAACAGGCAGAATTTCATGATTCCAATCAAACACGATATTGAAGATGGTGAGAGGCAGCCAGCAAACTGCAAATGCGACCACTATTGAGATCAGCATGATGTTGATCCTTTTGGTTTCAGAGGATCTGTACTTACTGTCTCTCATCTTGTCCATCATGTTGTTCCTTTTTTTCAACCGTATGTATATCTGCAGGAAATTCAACAAAGAGAAACACATGGAATAAATTAACCTACCACTGTCGTCTTTTCAAGGATAAACAAACATCAGACAAGAAGATTGTGTTGCAAGAGGATTCTATCTTACCTTCAAGTAGCAAATAAATATAAAACAGAGTGGTCCAAAGTACTGAATCACCAAAAGTGTTGTAGTATAAGAAAGCCTGGCAGTGTCCAAGGGGAACAGGTCCAAGCACACATATTTGTCTTTATATTCATCAAATGTTACATTTCTGAAGGGCTCATCTGTTAACACGTGGTAGACCAGGAAAGGCAAGGAGGAAGCTGTGGCTAAAATCCATATGGCAGCAATCCCCATGTAAGCATGTCTGTTGTTCGGCCTCCAGCCACGGGGATTGATGATCAGCTGATGGCGCTCAATAGCAATGAGGACTAAGGAAAAGACTGAGACGGTGATGGAGGCACACTGCACAAAAGGGTTCAGTTTGCACATGGCCTCCCCAAAAATCCAGTGGTCCATTAAAGTATACACAAAGGTAAAGGGAAGACACATGATGGTCACCAGGAGGTCAGAAAAGGATAGATTGACAATGAGGATGTTGGTAACATTGCGCATCTCCTTTTGTTTTAAAATAATGACAATCAAAGCCAGATTCCCAGAGACTCCCAGAATTATCACAGTCCCATAAGCCAAGGCCAGAGTGAAGACCATGGCCAAAGGCACACGGCAATCCTCGTCCTCAAACTGCAAGATCTGCGAGTTCGTCTCCGAAAAATTCAGGTGACCGGAAATATTTGCCAGTGGGGTGAGGACCGAGGTATTCATGTTGTTTCCAACTCGACGCCGCTCTTCGCCGCCGCCGCTCTCATCCAGACCGCTCCGAGTTCAGGACGCGCCCATCGGTCCCGCAGCGGAGCCCGGGACGAGCCCGCTCCTCAGCGCCACATATCCCTCGCGCCACCTGGGGAGAAGGGAAGGAGCGGGGCCGGTCACCTCGGGCACGGCGCCTGCCCCCGGGTCCCGCGGGAGCGGGGCCGCCCGGCCCGGCCGGACCCGCACGGCCCCGGGGCCCCGCGCAGGGCGGCGGAGCGGGGCTGCGGTCCGCGGGAAGGAGGCAGAAAGCAGGACCGAAGCGCGGGACTGCAAGCAGAGACACGACCCCTGCCCGGCCCGTTCCCGCCGGAAAAAGTTACACGGAATAGCGAGCTGAGAAGCACTTTCTGACTTCATCGGCGCAGCCTTCACTATATGCTTTACATCTCCTTTTCATAAATTTAATCTGCAAACGTCTGATTACTCAAACTGCTCTAAATGAAATGACATCCAGTCATCACATGAGGCGGGGAAAGCCCATCTGACCAATGTGAGGGGCGGAAAAATGACTCTAAAAATTGCTGCATACTTTTTTCCCTAATGCATAGACTTGATGTTAAGTGACCGAGTGCCCACAGCAGCACTGGCACCGAGTCAAAGGCAAATCAGGAACTCTGAATAACTTAATCTCAGCTAACAGGGCTGTGCAGCACAGGAAGAACAAAACAAGACAAAAGATGGCAAAATTTAAACACTGAAGAAAATTTCTTTAGCCATGCAACACAAATTGGCATGCTTAAATAACCATACTTTTGCAAGGCCTTGGATTTTAAAAATTTGAAACTCAAGCATGTGTGTTCAGGAGGAAAATTAAAATATAAAATCAAATAAGTTGATAAACAATTAATAAACAATTAATCAATAACCTGGCACACCTTTACTTCAACTCACCGTAAGTGGCACTGAATTCTGCACTGAGCCTGGAACTTTCCCTCTGCCCACTCCCATGAGCTAAATTTATTGTTCACTTAACCTTAGGTTATGGTAATGAAAGTAATGCCACTTAAAATTCACACAAGTGGGTTTCAAACACATCTCCATATGGCATTTATCACAAAAGCTGTAGAAACATTGCCCACTAAAATGTACTTCATTGAAAGTTACCCTGAATAGGTGAGCTTTTGATCTTAAACGATACTCGATAGAAATCTCTGTGCCATCTAAGTCTCTGGAGAAGAATCGTCTTTGTTACTGGCGGCAGTCACTCTTTTAACCAGCCACATGCTGGGGACCAGACCTGGGGCTGCCTCCTCCCCAGGGCAGATCCAGTGTGTGAGGGATGGGCTTGCAGCTCCAGCTCCTCCTGAGGGTCAGCCAAAGGATGACCATGCCAATGCCATGTCTTCTCACTGCTGCTGCCATCATGAGCTCACCTCGTCTCTGCTGGCTCTTTATAATCACCACATGGCTGCATGAAACCACAACAGGCAATGTAGCTTGTGTGACATTTTACTGTGAAAGTTAACAGCAGTGATTTCAGACAGAAGGCATCTCTGAGGTTTGGCTATGCTGATTTTCAAGACAGCTAGGCACACACCTGGACATTCTCTCTCAGACCTGCTGCCTCTGCGAACTAAATTTATCGGATCTTCTAGTCCACCAAATCTGTATTAGGGTCCAAAAAAGAAATTTCCACCCCCAAGACCTCTTGAAGCATCACTTCAGTCAGAGCCAGAAGTAAGTGCTTTACCCGAAGGAAAAGTGTGTGAGTGATGTGGAGAGCCAGGGCTTCTCGATTCCTGCAGTATGACTATATCACAGTCCAAAGTCACACCTGGATTTAATCATGATCTTCACCATCACTTGTACAGCATGAGGTGGGCAGTCCAGCCCTGTGATTTGATGGGATGACGGCAGGAGCAGAGTGGGTGAGGAGCCATGTCAGGCAAGGAGGGAACTGGGTAGGTTCTCTCACCGGCTGGGACCAAACTGCACCCAGCAAGAGAGTGTCCTGGGTTTCAGGCTCTTTGTTTTTCTACTCCCTTAGACAAGCTCTGGTCTTGCCTATTTATTAAATATCAAACTCAAAACCAGAAAATGCTACTGCTCCTTCTTCCCTCACCTTTCCCCATAGCAGAGATGCAACCTAAGAGCATGTTTGGGAACCAGCTCAGAAACACAGCACTGCTGGCAAGTGACAAGGAGTCCTTCTTTCCTGTCCCTCTCCAAAATGGACCAGACACCAGGAGGGGATGAAGTTGCATATCCTGGACATCTGCACTGTTCCTTGTCCCCTACCCCATCAGCTCCCAAGTCAGGAAGGAGAACCCTCCCCACTCCCAGGAGTGCTGGCCTGGGATGGGGAAAGCCCATAGCTCTGCAGACCCCTCTGGGCGATTGCACAGTCTCCCCCACCACGCACACCATCCTGACTCTCCATGAGAATTTTTGTCACAAGTTTAGCACTAACAGACAGAAAGGGCGAAATAATGTGCTGTAAGGTGACTGGAAATGCACTGTAAAACTATTGGAGCTATTCCAAAGCAAGCACAAAATGCTGTCAGCCCAAGCCGACTTCACCCAGCCACTTGAAAGTCCAACCTGGAGCCTACCCCTCCCTTGGATTTTGTCACCTGCACCTAAGAGAGCAAACAAACACCAGCCTAACCAGCACACAATCACCCACAGTCATGGGAAAGCAATCGCAGGGGAAACTCACCTTGCAACTGCTCTGCCCGTTTCTGGTCTGCTCAGAGGCTGCCTCAGGAGGCTGGATGGAGAAGGAGGAGTAGGGAAAGGGGAAGCATTCTCTGGTATTTCTCCAGCTGAGATCCTAAAGATTGGTGAGGAAGGCTAGAGACTCCCCCTTAAAGCCGAACTCCACCTTACCCCGGTATCACATGATGGTGCTCTGCTGAGTAGATCCTGAAAATCTCACTGCAAGCACATCACCTTTAAACTGCACATCTGGGGGTGGGTTGCCTAGTAATTCCGAAAGAAATGCAATTAAATATTGAAACAAAAGAGGCGGAGGGAGGGGGGGGGAGAGCGCAAGGAAAAGCTCAGGAAGGGAGACAGTTTCAAATCGATCTGCCTGTTTCAGCATTTTGTCTGCAAGTTATTGCCATCTTGTGGCCAAACTAAAGATGGAAATAGAAGCTGTTGGAAAGCGGACGAGGAAGAGATTTTAAGCATAAGGAGCAGGTTACAGAATTTGGGTTTGGCTTTTTAAACCAGCACAACCAGCTCCTGGTCTGAATAGTGATGACTGGATCAATAAAAAATGTCAAGTTGCTGAAACACCTTGTTGTGCCACTCACGAAAAGCACTGCACTGATCTACTTTGATGGTTAGAAAAGACAGTGAGTTGGAAAGTCCATGAGAAGTTACCCATCTAAACTTAAGCAACACTTTGAAAATGCCCTGACAAAATTTGCAGGCTGTGTTAGGAGTTTAGATTTCTTGGAAAACAGAAGTTCCCTAACTATTCCAAGTCTCCAGATTAATTTCTCTGGTGTAAGGAGTTGCATGCTCTTACATTCTTACCTTCAGGCATACACCTATTATATGGCAACACTGTTGTGTCGTGGATAACTCTCAACTAAGGAACTATGGTAATTATAGCTAAAAAGTTAGTTGCACATAGTAAATGATTGGAACATTTTTTGTAGAAGGAGTCTCATAGGAAGATTTCAGAACCCAGCAGTGAAGTTGATGTTTATACTGTATTTCCAGGAGCTCAGCTCAACTGCATTGTAACTGCAGTCCTTGATGTAAGAAAGGAAAGTGCAGGTTGCTATAAACCAGTAGCTGTGGTGCTGCTGACATTTTAACAGCAGCAGCCATAAGGTAAGTGCAAGCTATATATAATGCATCTCAAGAACTTCAGTCATACATGGGTCATTAGCACTGATCTTTGACTGAACAGAGCAAAGGTGGGTACACTCACCCAGGGATCCAAGCTGAAGGTCTCATAAAGGGTATATTTCTGTCTGAATCAGTGACACTCTAGGATATGTACAACTGAGGCCTCTCACTGCTATGGATGTGGAATGATTCATTCACACTACCAAAAAAAAATAAAATTGTCCAATATAGAGATTTTTAAGGGCAATAGATAAAGTGCTAGACAGAGAAAAAGCATTTTTTTTTGTTATGCCAGGATGTTTCTTCCCGCTACTTCCCTGTAATGCTCTTACCCATATGGTCAAGAAGGCTATTTAAAAAATTAAAACAGCATTCTGTGATACAGAATTGTGGTACTCTGCCAACAGGTATCCAGTGCAGAGATACATTTTCAGGACCAGTTCAGAATAAGAGACTTGGGTTTGCATAACAAGCTGGGGAATTTCGGGGATGGCTTTTGTGAGAACACACCAGGAGCTGCCCCCATGCTGAACAGAATGGGTTTGATCCCTATAGAGGCTGTTCACTTAAGAGTTGGACTTGATGGTCCTTGTGGGTCCCTTCCAACTCAGAATATTCTGTGACTCACTTCAAAAAAAGAACCATTTTCAGCTAACTCCAAAATGGACCCACCCCTGGCCAGAGCAGAGATTCCCCTGCAACCTGTGGTGAGAACCGTAAGGACACAAGTTGTTTCTCTGCAGCCCATGCAGGCCCATGGTGGAGCCATGCTGTGGTCTATGGAGAGGAGCCCACATGGGAGCAGGTTTGGTGGCAGGAACTGTGACCTTGTGGGGAATCCACACTGGAGCAGTCTGTTCCTGAGGGAGTGCACCCCATGTAAAGGACCCATGCTGGAGCAGCTCTTGAAGAACTGTGTCCCATGGGAAGGACCCCATGCTGGAGCAGGGGAACATCATGAGGTGGAAGCAGTGGCAGAGACGTGTGATGAACTGACCAGAACTCCCATTCCCTGTGCCCCTGCTCAACTCAGGGAGGTAGGAATATAGAAGAGTTGGGACAAAAGAGTGGTGTTGAGCCTGGGAAGACAGGGGTGTAGGAAGTTGTGCATTTTTCCTTTGTTTCTCTCCAATCTATTTTAAATAGATTAGTGTACCACAGAGGCATTCATTTACTCCTCTAGTGAAATGCTATTGTTTCTGCCACAGAAATGTCTGAATTTTCAGATAGATATGATCTTCTTTCTTGTCCATTTTGTCATTAGTGATGAGGATCTCCATTTCAGCAGTAAATGAAGTGATTCATAATACTTCATTTTTTAATGGTTAATATATACAAGAATTTCAAATATCGCATAAATACAGGCAAAACAAACCTCACAATTCCTCTGTTATACTATGCAAATATAATAATTACCTATAATAGATCAAATACAGAGCCTACATGCCACTCAGTGACCTGAACTCACAGCAATGGCAACAAATATTCACAGAGTTATTCACACTGCAGACAAATACAAGGTCAGGCTTTGAACAGTGCAGTGGAGAAATGGAAAGGGCTGCCTCAGTCATTGAGTTTTCAAACACGTGCTACACTTATGAGTGTATATACATATGTATGCACACATGCTATAACCCAAGTCTTACTACAAGCTTTCTGCTTTGCCGTACTATTGTGTGCCCACCTCAGATGACTGAATCTGTTGGAGCTGTGTCAGTCTTCTCTGAAGCACTTCACATACATGTGAGCACTAAACACAGTAAAAAATAATCACTCTAATAAACAGAGATAGACCCTTTTCAAACTTTCCATTATAGCTATATAAAATACATGTTGTGCAGCAAATGCCATGTAGCATCAGGTATTCTCTGTAAGAAAATCGGGCATTAGCAAGCCCTGGCTATTCTGTGCATCTTCAGTCTCAACACCAAGCTGAGAGTCTCCAGTTGGAGCTCCAAGCTCACAAAGATGTCAAATGATTTCTCAGTAACTTTAATCTTAGTGGTGATGATTGTCAGGACACAAGAACACTGGAGTAGTAAGATAACCATTGTGTTAAAGATTATCCTCTTCCAGGGAATGAATTCTTCAGTACATCAAAGGCACCCTGGACTGGAAGACTGTGTTTGTTTGTGTGCATATGTTTATTTGTGTGAAGGCATGACATTGCAAAATTTACAATGAACAGAACACAAGTATTTCAACTAAGGAAACACAACAGCCTGAGTAAATGAATATAGAATTGCTTTGAAGTAAAAGCATTGAGAAGAGAACAAAATGTTTTAAAGAAACATGTAGAAAAAATATACCAAGACATCAATCCATTAAAATTCTTTCTCACTGCAACTTGCAAAAATGGAAACGGTGTTGTAAAATGAGCTGTCACTTTCATTGCAGTGTATTGTCATGTGCTCAGGCAACACAATCCCTCTGTAAAACTTAAAATACACCAGGTAGAACACTAGGAGAATCATTTGTACTTTCAATTCTGTATAAAACAAACTGAAGTCACCACTATCAAAATGAATGGAAACACTCTCTGAAGAGTTTTTTGACCTTATTTTTTATTGTTTTCATTTTCTAGTACTGAACATCAGTGCCATTGAAATACTTGCATTTCACATTAGTCAAAGAGAAGGGAACTCATGCTCCTTGGGGCAAAAGCCTGTCATCAGTAGACTAAATAGGCCTTTTGCTGTTGAGTACAATTTGAATAGCAGCAAATTCTCTATTTGGATAAGAGCATGTTTATTCTGACACAACTGCATCTGACACCAAACATAACAACACTTCATTTGACTGCTAATGTCACAAACCCAAATGAGCTTCATGAAAGGTTATGTAGTTAATCTCTACTGACAGTCTCACTGTTGCAGTTCCATTTTCAACAATACAGCCAAGTTAACCAGTGCAAATCTATCCTGATCACATGAAATATTACTTAAAGGCTGCTTGAGATATAACCTAAATTATGTTCATCTGGCTAAAATACTAAGTCATGTTCTGTGCTGTGCCCACCCTGTGCTGTCCATTAAGGATTCAAACTTATGTATGCTCATACACAAACTCTCATCTGGCTTCAGATGAAGCAGAAATAGGTCCTGCAGTTAGCATGATCATCCAGATGGGTCAATGTGCAGAATACCAGCCAAAAAATATGATGACACATTAGGCAACAAAAATGACTAATTACAGGCTCACCCTTGGAAGTAAGCTAACCATCAGATGTCCTGCCTTTCATCACAGAGACAGCTCAACCATTGCCACAACTTCAGTAGTCCAAGGTTCGCCGCTTTATGCAAGGTAAGAACTGTGGAAGGGATGGGTCATACAGAAGCCAGAGATTAGTGGTATTTTGAATAATATTTTAATAGTATTTTTGCTGGGTATGAAGAGTTGGGTGAAAAAAATTGACCTACAGAAATGTTTTTTATATATTTCACAAAGTTTCTCAAAATCTGTAGTAACTATGTCTTACTATTTACACTGTCTTGCCCCATGAATAGGTGCTGCATTTGTATCAGACTTTACAGTAACATTAGACTTTGACTCATAACAAATTTTGACTCAAGACAATCAACTTCATGCTGTGGAACTGGATATTAGGTGGCTTAGACTTGGTTTTCTCATCGATTTCCACTGGAGCTTTGAGTCTTCATGTCTTCAGTTAGCCTTTAGAGGCTAAATTTTCTAAGATATTAGAATGATACTCCCAAAAGAAAGATACGTATGGGAATGTGGTAAGAAACGTGCCAAAACTGATTTGTATTCATATAACCACAGAGTTCTCTGCTATATTTTCTGTTTTGTTCTTCTGACTCAGGAATCTCAATCTTTTTTCTCTGATACACCACTTTTCTTCCCCAGCTCCTCCAGAACAGGTATCTTTCATCATCACCGTCTCTTACTTCCTCAAGGACTCCTCTATGATTTCAACAACCCCATGGTGGCTGGTTTCTAAGGAACTTGTACTATGATCTGCTGTCACTTCTGACATTCAATACCTCTAGACCTTTCCTATCTCTAGATTACTGATTTTATTATTCAGTAGTATTACTGGCAAGACAGAGGTACACAAACAGTAAAAAGGAAAAATTATAATGGTCTGAATAGTAATAACCTCTGATGTGCGCAAGTATCAGGGATGAATTGTCCAGCCGAGAGAAATCTGG